AACAAGAAATCATCTCCGATTAAATAATTCGGTCTATATTATAGATCACGTTGACAGATTTGAACATTTGAAAACAAAAAAATACAAAAGGGATGGAGAGTTATCCACGAAGGTCAAGTAAACAAATGAACAATAAATTTCCTTAAAATTTCGTTCATCACCCAGACTGAAGGACGTTAATAATATAAGGCGAAACAAACCAACACTTAGATGATGATAACAACAAAAAGTTACACTACACAGATAACTTGATAACAAAGAAAGGCCCCAATAATAATAACAATAACAAGAGATAACAATAGTCAAGAGGAGCTAGTCATGGGAGTAACTATATTCAAAATGATAATAATAATGACAGATGATATGACAGTAAAGGTATGAAACTGATAAAGATAATAATGGTAATAATAATGATATATGATATTAAAATAATGCTGACAGTGATGATTACTGATTTAATGATAATGGTAATGATAACACCAATAGAATAGCAATTGGAAAAATAATGATAATGATGACAATAGCAATAACAATAGTAGCAGCAATAATAAGGATAATTATTATTATTAGAATCATCATTACTATTGCTAACAATGGTAATAATGAAAGCAACTACAGCAACAGCAATAATAATTATAATAATAAAAACAATTAAATGAAATAACAAAAGCAATAATTATAACGATATTAATATATTGATAATAGTAATAATGAAAATAATAACAATAGTAATAACAATAATAACAAAGATTAAAATTATAATAATAAAATAATAACAATGGTAATAGTAAAATATCAATGATAAGAATGAGATTAATCTTAACCATAATAAGAATAATACAAATAAAGAGAATATTAATAACAAAGAGAACTAGAAGCACTTCAAGAGCACATATCTCCGCCAATGAAAAATATCCATAGTAGAAAAAAGACATTGGAAGCCACACACACCCTTTGGTAATAATTTCTTCAAAATCTGTTCATTAATTGTGAGTTATCCTGCTAACCAACTAACAAAGCAAAAACATAACAGTAATAACAAGGATTAAAATGATAAAAGATAAAATAATAACTATGGTAATAGTAAAAAAAAATAATAATAATAATAATAGAATATCAGTGATAAAAATGAGAATAACCTGAACCATAAGAATACAAATAATACAACCTCTTGGTGGTGTAATAATGAATGATGATAATAAGAACAATAAATATGGTAAAAAGGATAATGATAAATTTGATAGTAATGATAATTGTTATCATTACTGTATCATCATATGTTATCATCACTATTATTATTATCATTATTATCATCATCATCATTATCATCATTCATATTATCATCATCATCATCATCATTATTAATCATATATCATCATCATCATCACTATCAACAGCAGTAATAGTAGTAATATAATTCTTATAATTAATATTATTTATCATCTGCGCAGGATCCGTGTCACCAAAATCACCAAAATTGGATGGCATCTAAATTGGGCTCAGACACCGCTGGTTCTCCTGCTAACCAACAAACAAACAAACTAACTGACTAACTCTACAAAAAAACATAACTTCCTTGGTGGAGATTACAACAATAATGATACTAATGAGAATACGCTCACATTTAATTTTACTTTTAGTCCAATAATTTGATATGTACATACATTAACAATGTAAATCATATCTAATATTTGGAGACCCCTGGGCATCTGTGCTCTATTCCTGTTTCTAAAAATGGCCTTGGATAAAGGCAGATAAAAAAACGATAGATAGACAGGTTTTTAATATATATATATATATATATATATATATATATATATATATATATATATATATATATATATATATATATATATGTGTGTGTGTGTGTGTGTGATGTGCTGTATACTGTAGCTATACTCCCTCCCTCCCTCCCTCCTTCTCTCTCTCTCCTCCTCTCTCTCTCTCTCTCCTCTCCTCTCCCTCTCTCTCTCTCTCCCTCCTCTCTCTCTCTCTCTCTCTCTCTCTCCTCCCCCTTGCAAATCCCTTCCCAGAACTGAGAAATAAGACACACTTGACCATCAGCGTGAGAGCGGAAAGCCGTCCACAAATCCACAGGAGACAGCAAGATACCAAACCGATGTACATAAGGTAAGTTAATACCAAGTCGATACCAGCGCTGCAACAGGAGAATACCTAACCCTGGAGGCTATGTTGATGTGACCCTCTGCTGTTCATTACCCAAGTCGGCGAAACACGTTGACCATATTCAGATTTCACACGAGTTAGATACATGTTGACACAATTCCTCATCCAAATTGATTGATTTTACGTTCGGTATATATTGTGTGATTGCGCTGCATTTGCATGCGTCCGTGGTTGTTCCTGGTGGTGGGCGTGGGTGGGTGGTTGTTCTGTGTGAATATATAAATGGTTGATTTTCTTTTTTTCTTCTTTTTTTGAACGGCATATGATATCAGTCTGTGTGTTGTGTGTGTGTGTGTGTGTGTTGTGTGTGTGGTGTGTGTGTGTGTGTGTGTGTGTGAGGAGAAACTGGGATGACAACACATAGACTGTATTTTATAAATGCATTCATATCTATTTATATATACACATCACTGGTTCAAACATAATACCGTTAAAGGAGATACTTCTTAATCCTAATAGACGGTTAGGCAGACACACCCCTTTGCTGAAGACTGAAAATCATAGAAATTTACCCTAATGCTTGCTCAACACCCCCCCATCCCCCAAAAAAATGGTGCAAACTAACCTTTTTCTTTTAATACATTAATTAATCTAATTGTAAATACATAAATTGGTGATATCAAACCTTTTTCTTTAATATATTAATGAATCTAATTTAAACATAAATTATATCAAACCTTTTCTTTTAATACATTAATCAATCTAATTGTAATAAATAAATTGTGATATCAAACCTTTTTCTTTTAATACATTAATTAATCTAATTGTAATGCATAAATCGGTGATATCAAACCTTTTTCTTTTAATACATTAATTAATTTAATTGTAATACATAAATTGGTGATATCAAACCTTTTTCTTTTAATGCATTAATTAATCTAATTGTAATACATAAATTGTGATATCAAACCTTTTTTTTATTACGTTAATTAATCTAAT